ATGAATCACTGCCCAGAAAAAAGCGATAGAAAACACAGTGATAGGAACTGTCCAAGTGTAAGTGTAAGAAGAAATTACATGAAAATGTAGTGACCCATGGAACAGTATTGGGATCGTTAGGGAAGGGGAAAATATTAAAAGACATAATGTGTGCAGTTTTTCTAAGTTTGGCTACAAATCCACAGTCTAAAGAGCTCAGTGAAATACCCAGGCTGGTAAGCACAAAAGAAAACACACCAGTGCAAGTTGTAAACAAATTGCTAAAACCAAAGATACATAGAAAAACTCAAAAGCAGCCCAAGAAGAAAGGGCATTTCATACAGGGAAACATAAATAAGAATTAGGCCAATTTCTCATTGGAAGAAAAAGGCACGGCAGGAGACAGTCTTTAAGGACTGAACAGCTGGAAAGACAGCTCAGCAGTTAAGAGCACTGGCTGCTCCTGCAGAGGACCTGGGTTCAGTTCCCAGCACCCATATGGCACAACTCCAGTTCCAGGAAATCTGATGCCCTCTTCTGGCCTCCACAGACACTGCACCCCTGCAGTGCACATACATACACTCCACAGTCTTGGAGGAGGAGGAAACCCTCGATCCACAGAAAACGATATTACCACAGCGAAAACCACACATTCCAGTAACAAGAGCAAGGCAAGGGAAATTGCCTTTCGCTTCTGTTTAGCACTGGACTAGATATCTTGGAGCAGCAGGGTACCTGACGGGAGAGTAGGGGGTGTACATGCCTGGCTTCACATACCATAGACTGCACATGAAAGGAGTCTACACAAACACTATTAGAAGTAAGTGATTTTAGCAAGATCACCAGAATCAAGTCAAGATGTAAGCATTTAGGAGTGAATTGCTAAAACAAGGTGCTGGCATCTCAAAAGCTACGTGCTGGACCGGGGATGTGGTAGAATGGTAGAGCACCCACCTGGCACGTGAGAAGCCCTGGGCTCCATCCTGGCACTGAAGGTGGGGAGCACTGAAGGAAGGAAGGCCCACTCAAAGGAGAATGACTGTATAATTCCATTAGCATGACATTCAAGGCCAGGAGGAGCTACTTTTTGGTGACTAAAGACCAGTGGCTTCCTTGGACTGAGGGTTGGGGATTGATGAAAAGATATAAAGGAACTATTTTAGAGTGACAAGAAAATGTTATCCATCCTTTTAGTGGTGTTTACACTGGTGTGCACATTTGGGAACTCATGGAACTGCATTTTACATGGGTACAGTTTGCTGTTTGTAAACTGTCTTTCTGTAGAGTTGATGTTCTTTAAGAACTGAAACGCAAACATTACCAATGATCTGAGATACTGACAGTGACTTAGGAGAGAACCGTGGATCCACTTTTTGACTTCGGCTTGTCTTTTTGCACTGTGCTGGGATGAACCAGGGCATCCCTGTGGTGGGGACAGCAGGCAGGATGGATGGGGGGGATATTTAAAAAGTGAACTGAGAGACTCGCTCAGCATTTCTTCCTTCAGGAATCACTCTTCATTGCCGGGAGGTCAGCCACGGTGCTGTGGAAAGTTCCTCTTTAGTACCCTCAGCTGAATCCCACAAAGCACCTCTTTCTGGGAAGGAGGTTAATAAAGCCTTGAACTCGGGAACAGTGCCTTGTCTTCTGTTCTTCTAGGCAGTGATTCGCTTAAATATTCCAGTAGCTGTCTTTTTCCAGGATGTCTGTACCTGTCTCGAAAGTGTTGGGTTGAGATCTACCTACTGAGTAAAAAGCGTGCTTGTAGCTGGGAATGAAACTCCCTTGTCCTGATAAAAGACAACTTGGAAGGGTGGGAAAATGACCTCTTTCTAATCCTGACTGGGCCAAGTGAGGCTGAACAAGTCACATGACCTATCAGGAGGGATTTATATTTTCTACTTTTCAGATTTCAATTTGAAAAATATTCCAGCAATAATTCCCAGCTTGATAGCCATTCTTAATATTCACTGCTAATAAGACCATGGTGTTATTTGAGCTTGTTTGTGGGCAGGATGTGGGCAGGATGGTTGTGGCACAGCGCTGTGCCCCAGCTCATGGCACAGTGACATCATCTCTCCTTTCATGAGCCCTTTTCTTAGACCATAACGTTTTCCTGGGTGGCAAAACAGAATCACCCAGAGAGTTAAAAAATTCCCAACGCTCCACTGGCATCCCAGACCAATTAAATCAGAACCTAGGCACCCATAACCCTTAGAACTGTTTAATTATTTATTTCTTTGTACCTTATGTCTCCATCTCCACTCATCGTATCCTCCACCCCCATCAAAAGCAGAGCTCTGAGGGACTTGCTCCATGGCGTGGAATTTCAATAGCAAACCTTGTTGCTGTATATATTTCATTGACCTAACCAGTGCTAACCCGTAGGCCTGCCGCATCTCTGCACTCAGAACAAGGTTGAGCATTAGCTCTGAGCCCAGGATATACATAGTGCATGGGTCACTACCTAATACAACCATCTAGAGCAAAAGTCTGGGTTCTTTACTGTTCTGTGCTATCAAGATAGCTGCTTAAGTTAATTTGTTCAAACTGTGCTTGAGTTTCTGCTGTGTGCTAGGCGTGGCATCTTGGAGACTCATTCTAGCTCGGGAATTAGCCAGTGGGAGTGTTCTAGTTAAGTTTTCTCTTGCTGTGATAAACCACTCTGACCAAAAGCAACTTGGGGACAAAAGCGTTTATTTCATTTTACAACTCCCAGGTCACAGTCCATCACTGAGGGAAGTCAGGACCGGAACTCAAGGCAGGAACCTGGAGGCAGGAACTGAAGCAGAGACCATGGAGTAATGCTGCTTACTGGCTTGTTCAGCTAGCTTTCTTATACAGCCCAGGCCCCCTGCCTAGGGATGTCACTGCCCAGAGTGGGCTAGGTCCTCCTACATCGATTACTAATCAATAAAATGCCCCATAGACATTCCACAAGCCAATCTGATGGAGGCAACGCCTCAACTGAGGTGCCTTCTCCCCAAGTGACTGGTTTGTGTCAGGCTGACAAACGCTAACCAGCACACAGAGAGAAGAGCATTTCAGGAAGTAGAACAGTCAGTACAATGTCACTGTAGCAAAAGGAGCGTAGCCGGTCGGCAAAACCGAAAGAATGTTGGAGTAGCGGAAGTATAGAGTTTAAGAAGTGTGCCTGAGAGGAAACTAGACACTGGAAGGGACGCCTGGAGGGAGGACAAGCTGGAACTACAGAGCAGAACAGGCGCCCTCTGTGTCCTGCCTCCCCACAACCCAAAAATGGTGCCTTCTAGATAAATATTAGCCGATTTTAGGAGCACAGTGAGAGGGCATCAGCCAAGCAACGTGACCATGACATAAGTCATAGAGAGCTCAGTAAGAGTAGCACACTTATCTGGCCCCAGGTTTCTGCTCTCGTATAACAACAGTCGGTATGTACTCAGAGCTAGGTTTGTGCCAGGTGCTAAGTGTTTTTGTTGTCTCACCAAAACCCCACCACCATCCAAGAGCTGTGAACTTTTACTACACTTCCTTATTGATAGACATGGAGACTGACAACAGCATGTCCTTGGGCCTGGACTTCCTGGAAGCTGGTTAATCACCTTTCGGGGCTGACACTGGAACCCACTGGTTCCTTTGCTTGTGGCCCAACTTCAAAGACTTTGTCTTCACTCAAGAAATGGAGACCACTGTGAGGCTTTGAGCAAGTGGTACCATGGTTAAGCATCACTTCCCCTCAGTGTGTGGAGATAACAGGCCACAACAGCATCCCCACTCCTGTGAGGTGTTACCTAGTAGGGGAGAACAGCCCAGAAATCCAGAAAACAATGTAAGCAATTGAAAGTTGCTAACTGGTTGTGTGGGGGGAACTTCAGTGGTAATGTAGTAAGTATAATACAGTTGCTGTTGAAGCTGATCAAGGGGATTTGGTTCATAAATATATCAAAATATACAGTTGTTCTGCCCAAGAACTCAAGAAATGTTGACTAGCATCTTATGAAGCCTGGCTACCAATTTCCATGTGCTATGTTCCATGAGACAAGAAACTAGAATTATGGAAACCAGGTGGGAACTGTGGGCTTATTTAAACATGCAGCCTTTGTCAAATCCAGGGAAATTAGTACGTTGCCAAGAACCTTGGTCTCGTCGGGAATCATTATCACTCTCACCATCAATCCCGAGAATGTGTGGTAAGGGGCCATGATGATTCCACGGTATAAGGATGTGGGGCTGTACAAACCAGGGGGTAGAGATTCACTCTTAAGTGATACTCTGAAAAATTCCACAGTCAAGCCAATTGTGGTTGAGTGCCTACTCTATACCAAGCAGTATTCATGAGCTCAGGGTAGCCCTGCCCAGGGAAGCAGGTCCTGTGTCATCAGAGAAAAATGAAACGGGGGTGGGGGGAGCTGGAGAGATGGCTCAGTGGTTAAGAGCTCTGGCTGCTCTTGCAGAGGACCTGGGTTTGATTCCCAGCACTCACATGGAGACTGACAACTGTCTGTAATTCCAGGGGATCCCATACCCTCTTCTGATCTCCATGAACATTGCACAACACAGATGCACCCACATACATGCAGGCAGTACATGTATACACATAAAACAAAAATAATAAATGAAATATTTTTGAAAAAATATGAAACGGCCATTTTTGTAGGGCATCTAAGTAGCATGCCTAAAGTAGGCTAAGCATTTAGGGGTTGATCAAGGCTACTTGGCTCCCAAAGCGAGTGCTCTTGGCTCCTCTCTATACAACCATGTCCGTTAGAGTCTCTGCGTCTTGTACGTGAAGTAATAGCTCGGCATAAAGAAGTCCTAGTTTTTCAAAGACACAAAATTAAAGTTCAGCTGTCAGTTAGCTACTAGAACTCAGATGTTCTTTGGGGAAGCAGTCGTATACGGTCTTTGCTCCCTTCTCTTACTGAAATAAAGATTCAGCTGTGGGTTACTCTTCCCAAATCTACTTCTGAAGACTGCGGCATTCAGTCTTGGTGATGCCAGACAGGCAGAACCAGTTGAGACTGATTTCTTTTGTTTGACAGCTGCAGAACCAGGAGATGCTGCGGGCGATGATGAAGAAGGCTGAGCTAGAAATCAGCAGCAAAGTGAGGGAGACCATGAAGAGACTGGAGGACCCTGTGCAACGTCAGCGCACCCTGGTGGAACAAGAGAGGCAAAAGTACCTTCACGAGGAGGAGAGGATCGTCAGAAAGTTACGGTGAGTGCCAGTCAAGGCGGCGTGTTTGGCTTTCCGACCCGAACCAGAAAACTGTCTTTGCTTACAGGGGTGCTCTGCTTACTTGGTATTTTTCTCCCTGTCTTTATTGAGCCCCTAATGTGTATGCCAAATATCTGCTGATCCAGGTATCCAGGATTCCAAGTTGTCCTCCATCCAAGCCTGGGAAACCCAAGTCCCCAGGTGACTGAACTAGGCTCTTTACCACTCAGAGCATCAAGCTCATTTTCCAGGGCTCAGCAGCACATAAAATGAAAAGGAGTAAGTAGTAAGCCCCAGTGATAAATGGGAAGTCTGTATTTAATCTCAGTAGATATCCTACTGTTAGTCCACTGTAGTTACACTTGCAGACAGATTTAAATGTAAAGTATGTCTGATGCAGAACGAAAGATGCTTCATTGGGTGTTACAATCTTATAGAACATCTTTAGTGAAAGCATCCATCAGGTTCTTCTGAAATAAGTCGTTTTATTTCTCCCATCAGGAGACAAGCACATCTATTATGTTAATGCATGTTTTGTTATGCAACAAAGGTTTACCCTAGAAATAGTTCACCTTTTAGTATAATGAATGGCAGTCTTTTTAAGATTTATTTTTATTTTATGTGTATGAGAATTTGCCTGCCCTTACATGCCTATTCCCACAAAGGCCAGAAGAGGGCATCAGATCCCCTGGAACTGGAGTCCACAAAGGCTGTGAGCGGCCATGTAGGTGCTGGGAACCAAACCCAGGTCCTCAAAAAGAGCAGCAAGTGTTCTTAACTGCTGAGACCTCTCTCCAGCCCCACACTTTTTTTATTCCTCTTTTTGTCTAAAAAGCTTAACTCTCCCAAAGACAAAGGAAGATAAAGGAACAATTTGCAAACATTTTTTGTGCCCAGGATAACAGGAAGTTCCGTGACAGGAAGTGTTCTGTCCATCATCTGTCTTATTCTCCAGCTGCAGTTTACCTCACTCACATACCAACCCAGTGTGCTTAATTAAAGTGAGAATATCACTCTAGGCAGTCTGAGAAAAAAAAAATCTATTTGAGTTATTATTTTCCTAATAAATTAAATTAGATCACCATTCATCCACATCTCAAAACATCTGAATTTTTACTTAGTTCATGAATTTATAGACCAAGTTAATCACCTTAACAGTAGAAAGGCATTATTTGGCTAAAATGTGTTCGTGACGGCTCAGTTACTTAAAATTATGTCTCAGGATTTTGCTTTAAAACTTCTTTATATACATTCACTGAATAACATTGATACAGATTTTCTAGTAAAATTAGAGGAACACATCCTCCTTTAAAGTGTGTGCCCATTGGTTATCTAGGATAACTCTCTGTTTGGACTTTTAGAAAACAGCTTTAGTATATATAGTGTCCTGAGACTAGTGGTCCAGTTTAGGAATAAGCTAGCAAGGCTCCCAGAGCAAATAGATCACGAGGTTTGTATCTGGTTGACTTTTCAGGATGGTCATAAGTGAGTAAAGTGTGCACAGAGCCCTTGTAGATCTTCAGTCTAGTAAAACAGAATATAAACAGGAGTAAAGTGCCAAACAGGTGATTCACAGGTCCCAGGTGAACCCACACCAAGGAAAGATTGCTTCTGAGCCCAGGAACCAAAGAAGCTTCACCTACGTTAGTAATGCACCTCACAGGCCAAGCACAGCAGCCATGCTCTGGTATGTTCAAAAGTAGTTTGGTAAATTGAGTTGGGATGGTCTTAGAGGCAGGTGGACTTCTTCGGCAGCAGAGACTGAAGACTGTCCCAGCAAAGGAGCCCTGAAGCCCACGTCTCTCTGGAGCAGGAAAGGGCGGGACATTCTTAGAAAATTGGGAATCCAGTGTGGCAGGGAGAATTGGATCGAAGATACTAATGCTGTCTCGTATTTGGACTGTGCTGTATGGTGCCTTCCATAGACTTTATTCCTGCCTTAGAGACTACATCCACAAGCTGTCCTCTGACCTCCACATGTGTACCCCTGCACTCACTCACACATCATACACCACCCCCACAATAATAACAATAATCACGTTTAATATATCTTTTAAATATTTGAATAATTGTTCCTTATGCCTTAAATAAGATGTAGATTAGGATAACCAGGTGGGTCTGTGTGGATTGTAAAAGACGGGTGGAAACTGTAACTCTAACATTAGGGAAGTAGTGATTGATTGCTCTCCCCTCTCACTTCCCTCTCTCCCCTCGTCCTTCTAAGCTCTAGAAATGAGGTTCTCTTACAGAGCCTCTTGGGCTTAGGTCCTGTGAGCTGGACAGAGAGGAGAAACAGTGGAGAAAAACGGAGTCAAGATCTTGTTTTTGTTGTTCCAAGTGTAAGAGTAAATGTATTTTAACAACATGCTTTTAACAGAAGTCGAATAAATAAAAGCGGTAGCATCTCTAAATATATGACATTTTATTGTGCAAAGTCATATTTCAAAAGCCACATCAACGACCATTTCAAAGATGGTCTGTATTCGTGTTTAGTTGTATTGTTTAATTTACAATTTGAGAATTAACAAAAGTGACTGTTCTAGCTTGCCATCAGTTGCTGTGACAAAACACTCTGACCAGTACCAACTTGGAGAGGAAAGGGTTTATTTGGCTGACAAGCAAGTCCATCATCAAGGGAAGCCAAGGCAGGAACTCAGGTCAGGAACCTGGAGCACAGGCCATGGAGGAACGCTGCTTACTGGCTTGCTCCCTTGGCCCCTGCTCACCCTGCCTTCTTAACAATACAGGCCCACCTGCCTAGGGGTGGCACTGCCCACAGTGGGCTGGGCCCTCCCACATCACTCAACAGTCTAGAAGATGCCACACAGACATAGCCACAGGCCAGTCCAATGGAGGAAACTCCCCAGTTGAGGCTCCCTCTACCAAGTGTGTCAAGTTGACAACTACAGCTGTCCAGCACAGTGACCTTAAATGCTTTCTCTAAGTAGGTATCATACAAACAGGCAGAACAGTAGTACTGTGGTTCCATGCTCTACAACAAGGGGAAGCAGAGTTTATGGATCTCCTCGGTGCAGGGTTATGTCATCCAGGAGGTACAATGTGTAGGGGAGACCAAAATAGGGTTTCAGGCAGAATGACATGGACAAGCGTGTGGGGTAATAACATTTGGGTCTTAGCTGTTCCACCAAATCTTGTTAGGACTGGACATGGTGTACAGTCAAGACATTCAGTCCTGCAGTGGGAAATTCCCCTCGTAGGATATGGTGTTTGGAAGTCTCCACCTCAAGCCACGACAGCTGTTGGAGGTGTCTGTGACGTGCTCACACAGCACCGGGCAGACACTGGGCAGCTGAAGATTTCCCCTTTGGTCCTAAAGGGGCATCATTTCATCTCGTGTTTCCATATTAGAATGACTGACATTGCCAGATACTCCCTGCTCAGATGAGGTCAGATTTGCCATGTATGGCTTGGTACTTGTTGAATAGACGGCACGTCCTGCCCTAGCGCCTTCTGCAGCTGACCTGGCTCCATCCGCTTCCTCACCTGGTGGGCTCTGGGTCTCCTCACTGGCGTGTTTGCTCTGTCTGCTGCTGGCGCCGCTTGGGTTCCAGGAGGCGCAATCTCCGTTCACTTACTGCCACCTAGTGGCCCTTCATTTCTCGACGTTCTCTCCACACTAATCTTTAAGAAAAGCTTTCTCTTGAGTTCATGGGCAAACTGAAAGGATACAAACAGGTGTTTATGAAGGGTTTAGCAATGGAGCCTGGACAGGTTGTTGTTTTTGTTGTTTCAAGTGGAAGATCTTAACTTAACTCCGTTGGAATTAACATCTGTCCACACACATTGACACACTAATGTACATGCACACCACCAATGCACACAGTAGAAATCAGATCTCTAAGCTCTTCTTAACTGTGAGAGGAGAGAGTCAGTCTTTGTTGAAGGGAGAATATACTAGAGGCTTTTCAACCAAGGATTTTGAGGATAGTTTTATTTTCTGTTTCCAGGAGGCATGTGAAAATGTCAAGTGATATTCCATGTGTCACAAGTTCTTTGGGGTTGGGGTAGGTTACTACTGGCACCCAGTAGGTAGAGGCTAGGAATGCTACAAAAACTAAACATCTTTTGATGCATAGGACAGTCCTGGAAAAAATTAAAAAATAAAAAGAACTATTTGACCCCAAGTGACCCTAAGTACCATCACAACCCTGAGCATCTCATTTTACACCACTGTATAGTGCTCCCTCATGCTGTCCCTTCACAGCTCCCTGGCCCATCTCTGTCACTAGTGCCACCTTCATCTCTGTCTCTCCCTTTCCTTGGTCACCTAGGGCACACGTTGCTCTCTGACCAGTGTCAGTAACACTGAAAATGAAGAGTGTCTTTAGCCAGCCACAAGCTGCCCCTTCTCCCCCCCAAATCTGGGCCTGACAGACATAGGGAAGCTTTCCTGCAGTGGCCTTACCCATCCGTGCAGTATTCCAAGCCAAGCTACTATCTAGTGTGGTCCTGCCTCCTGAGTGAACTTCTCAGGCAAGGCTGGGACACCAAAGGAACCCGCAGTTGTCCTCCCTGAGGACCTCCATGTCAATTCCATCTTCTGTCTTCCCCACAGTGAGCTGGAAGAATTTGTTGAGGATTTGAAGAAGGACTCTTCATCTGCAGGCCGAGTGGTGACTCTGAAAGACGTGGAGGATGGGGCTTTTCTCCTGCGGCAAGTAGGGGAAGCTGTGGCCACCCTGAAAGGTGAGTCTTCTGCTGGAGGGAGAAGTTAGAGGTGGGTTTCTTGGGGTTTTTAAAAAGTCTTCAAGCCAGGTATAGTGGGACACACCTTTAATTTCATCACTCTAAAGGCAAGTGGATCTCTCAGATTGAAACCAGACCAGTCTACATAGTAAGTTCCAAGCCAGCTGGGGCTATTGGGAGACCCTGTCTCAAAAAGACTTTTAAAGTCTTCAAATGTGTGTTGGGCAAGGTGGCACCTGTAATCCAATGGCTCAGGAGACTGAGGTGGGAAGATCACTTGAACTTAGTTCAAGGCCAGCCTCAACAATATAGTGAGACCCTGTTTCTAAAAATAAATAATAAATAAGTAAACTTTTAAATAGTAAATGATCCCTCATACATACACTTATATTTATGTAAGTGTTTATCCAACACCTGTACATGTCAGCACTGTTCAGAGCTCTTAGATACATCATGGAACAGAACAGGCACCCATCCTGCCTTCTTCAAGGCACTTTTATACCAGCTGCTGAAGTTCAAAGGCTAAGTGATACAATTAAAACTTTCTATTCACTTTTCTCTTTTGGAGCTCTTACAGTATGCCAGCACACCTTGCTAAGCTCACTGAAAACAACCCCTATCTTTCCATTGGCCTTATCCAAAATAATAGGAAATGAGCCTACGAGGCCAGGACCTTGACTGAGGCCTCTTGCTCTGACCCTCTTCTGTGCCCTTAACTGACCATCTCCCACGTGTGCTTCTCAGTGCTACCCTACGTCAGGGCATGGGGTACTATATTCTGCCTCCTTATTCTATAACTCACCAGCTGGTTTGGTCCCTAGGAGAATTCCCAACCTTGCAAAATAAGATGCGTGCGGTGCTGCGCATAGAAGTTGAGGCGGTACGGTTCCTGAAGGAGGAGCCGCACAAGCTGGACAGCCTCCTGAAGCGTGTGAGGAGCATGACAGATGTCCTGACAGTGCTGCGGAGGTGACCGAGAGGCCCCCGGGGCAGGCAGCCTGCAGGGGTGGGCTGGGAAGGTGGGGGTGGAGGTCGTGGGCTCTGGGCTCCTGCTCCTCTGCAAGGGCTTATTTCCAGTTCTGTGGCTTCACCACTATTCTGGCATCCTACAAAGTAGCCACAACTCTTTCAGCCCCCTAACTTCTGTTGCAGTATGGCTTGAGGTTCTAATTCTTCAACACAGATTTGCTGCATCAGGCCCATTATAGCGTTTTAGTTATTAGACATGGGCTGGCCTGTAGCTCAGTAATAGAACGTGTACACCTAAGTTTGATTCCCAGCACTGCAAAACCAAAAATAAATTTAAAAATAAAAATAGATAAGTAGTTTTTAAAAATAATAATAAATTCAGGCCAGCCAGGGCTACGTAGTGAGACCCTGTCTCAAAAACTAAAATGAGAATCAACTGCAGGAGTTTTTTTCTTTTTTCTTCCAGTAACATTTTGAAGTTGAAGAATAGATTAAAATAGTCTTTTACCCACCTTCACTTCAGGGCCACATAACTTCAGTTATATAAAACTGAAAAAAACTTTTTTCCCAATTATCTACTGAAAGGGCATCTGAGAGCACTTAGGGAAGAGACTAAGCGTTCTTAAGTGAACCTGATTATCAAAGAGCAGCACTGTGGAGGGAGAGCCAGAAGAATCACTGACTGATCTCTAACTTGCACTGAACAGAAAATTCTAGAATCCTATATCTATGGAAAAAGTGCTTACAAAGGTTGAGGTATAGCTCAGTGGTATAGCACTTGCCCAGGATATGCTAAACCCCGAGTTTGGTCCTTCTGACCACCACGAAAAGAAAAGAAAAGGAAAGAAAGAAAGAAAGAAAGAAAGAAAGAAAGAAAAAGAAAGAAAGAAAGAAAGAAAGAAAGAAAGAAAGAAAGAGAGGCATAAAAAGAAAAGAACAGGTCTCTCGTAGAAGTAAGGTATCAGAAACTTTCTCGGGAGAATTTTAATCCCTATCTGTAATGACACTGTCAGATGTTAAAAAGAGAAATCAATTATTAAGTGTATAGTTAACTAATCATAAGAAGCAAGTTAGATTTTTTTCCAGCAACAAACGACCTCAAGTAAACCACTTTGGGAATAGCTCTCCAAAACAGATGCAGAGAATCACACTCAGATGCCAGGATGCCAAAGGAATTCGGAGCTAAAGACAACAATGCAAAGTTGGCATCTGAAGCCATTTCTCCTTATTACTTGCTCCCCGTGTGGTCGTTCATTTTCATTTACCCCAAAGAATTTCATTTTAAATATATTTTATTTATTATTTTTATTTTATGTGTGTGAGTTGCCTGCGTGTATGTGAGTGCACCTGTGTTGTGCAATGCTGCGGAGGTCAGAAGAGGGTGTCGGATTCCCCTGGAACTGGAGTTAAGGACAGTTCGTAGCCATCATGTGAGTTCTGGGAATCAAACCCCAGTCCTCTGCAAGAGCAATCAGTACTCTTAACCATCTCTTCAGCCCCCCAAAGAATTTTTTCTTCTGCTACCCCCCCCCAAAATTAAAGTATTTCTTTATTGAGCTATTGCCCAAATGTAGTAACCCATGGAGTCTAAAGCAAGCTAACATCATTATGTGAAAAGAGCCGCTGCCAGGAGCACTGTCTGGTCTTACTTCTCTCTGAAAACAGTTAAAAGGATGTTTTTCCATCCAGCACATGGTGTTAAAGTTCAGTGTTTGTCTTATCTCTAGTGGATACAAGTTCTTAAGAAAGATGGGATAGTGTGTTATGTGACATGGAGATTAAAGGGATTGGAATAGGTAAAGCTAAAAGCAAAAGAAATAGAACAGACCTGAGTAGCAGAGCACAGGGAGAAAATGTAAAGTCTTTGCTCAAATCAATGAAAAAGAGAAAGCACTTTAATAAGAAGTGATTGCAGAACTTCTAAGCTCACAGGTCAAGCCCTGTATTTAACATAGCTCTGGACATATCTTTACAGTATTAATTCTAGCACCAGCCCGCAAAGAAGGCATGATCACTGTTGTCATCGTTACATTTTACAGACGAGTCTGAGACAGTATGGTAACGTTCACAGCATTCTAGAACATGTTGGAACTGATACTCAGACACAGGGATGTCTGACTCCAACAGTCCTGTCTTTTCAACTGCAGCCTCTGTGGAAATGAACAGATAGCAGGGAACGACTCCAAGTGCCAGGCAAGGTCACACATTCTTATAATCCTCCCTCTCAGAAGACAAAGTCAGGAGGATCACAAGTTCAAGGTCAACATGAGCTACACAGACTCTGTCTCAAAATATCAGTTGTAGAACACTTGTGTCCCATACACAAGGCCCTGAGTTCAATCCCCAGAACTACAAAAATAAGAATAAAAATGGCCCCAACAAAACAAAAGAAGATGAAGACAAAACACACTTCATCTTGGAGTCACAGTTGACCTTGAAGTTGAAAGGCTTGGTTGAGGGGCTAGAGAGATGGCTCAGCAGTTAAGAGCACTGGCTATTCTTACAGAAGACCCAGGTTCCAATCCCAGCACCTACATGTCGGCTAACTCCTGTCTGTAACTCCAGTTCCAGAGGACTCGATGCCCTCTTCTGTCCTCCACTGGCACTACATGACATGGCACACACACATTCAGGCATAACACTCATACCCATACAATAAAAATTTTTTTTTAATTTAAAAACCAGAAAGACTTGGTTGAGCCCGGGTAGAGATAAGAGAAACAAGTTGAGCTACAAAAGTAGCAATGAGAAAATTGGAGTATTGAGGCTCTTCGATATGTCTACCAGGGAAAGGAGAGTGTGGAGGTTTCTGGAAATGTTTGAGCAAGAACTGAGTGTATTTGAGAGCTTGGCAGGCCAGGATCAGGAAGAGGAGTGAGTGTTGACAGACACACATTTGCTGTTTGGTGAGGGACTGACATAGGGCTGGGCCCAGTAGTGCTACCAGAAAAAGAACAAGATCATCACCTGGGTCTGGGGATGGTTTAGTAGGTTGGAGTGCTGACTGCAAAGCGTGAGGATCTGAGTTCGAATCCCCAAACGCCATGTAAAGCAGGCTCTGTAACAGGAGTATCTACAGTTAAGATGGGAGGCGCAGACAGGAAAATATCCAGAAGCTCTCCGGCCTTGCAGGCACGTGTAGCCACAATGGGACCCTGTCTCAAACAAGGTGGAAGGTTGTCGACTGCCATGTGCATGAATTCACATACGCCTACCTCACAGGCACACACAGACAAAAGAGACCTTCTGAAGAAAGAACTACAGAGGCCTTATGGCTTTAGGAAGTTGCTGTGGAAACCATCACCCCGCAACTACTCTGAATTTTCTAATGTTTTCACCTGACCCCGTGTTGGGTTGCATGGTATACCTAACCAGGTGATGGGATGCATGGTATTCAACTACATCATGAAGACAGGACGGAGGGGACACATTTCATCAGTTAAAACCCTGTGCATGGTTTCCCCTAGGCACGTCACTGATGGACTCCTGAAAAGCACAGATGCAGCCCAGGCTGCACAGTACGTCGCCATGGAGAAGGCCACGGCTGCAGAGGTCCTAAAGCATCAGGAAGAGGCAGCCCACACCTCCGGGCACACTGGCACAGGAGGCCCTGGTGATGTGAAGCCGGAGGTGGTACCCCTGTCAGCCATGACAGTTCACCACGCACAGAGCTCCCCTGTGGTCATCCAGCCCTCCCAGCACTCCTCCGCCTTGCTGAATGTGCCTGGTGGGACTGGTCCCCGCACAGCCAGCCCCCCAGCAGCCACACAGGAAGTAACCTCTGCACCCAGGCCAGCTCCAGCCCCCCAGTCCCCTCAGACCCCCATGAATGGTTCTACCATGCAGAGCTTGTTTGTTGAGGAGATCCACAATGTCAGCACCAAGAACAGGGCCGTGTCCATTGAGGTACAGTTCTTTCTGCCCTGTTTCCATTTCCCATAAACATATTCCTTTCCCAGGGAGTTTACAGAATGATTTGTATATTCACATAGCGCTGTATTATGCCTATGTGAGTATGTATTCATATGAATAGATCTAATACATGAATCAAAGCCGTGTTATAATTAAAGATAGATTTTTTTTTTTTTTTTTTTTTTTTTAATAAAAAAAAAAAAAAAAAAAAAAAAAAGAGGACGATAAATCTTTCACTGTGATATATCAAAATAA